ATATATATATATATATATATATATATATATTAGATTTTCATGGTATAATAAATTTGAATTTATTTTAGTAGTGACTAGTTAGGATAAATGAATATTATAATAATATCAACCAACAAATGGATATTTCACCTTAAGTCCTTACTCATTTAAATCCTCAAGGTCAAATTTCCAACTACAAATTAATTCAAACTTTATTCCTTATGGCCATAGAATAACATTTATCTTTATAATGTATGAAGAAATAGCAAGATGAGCTTAGGATATTTTAACAAAACTATATTTTAGTTAATATTAATATAAAAAATCTCGCAACAGGCTTCCCTCCCGAGTTGATCAACTCAGCTAAGGATGTGCCTTAAAAAATCGCGCAACAGGCTTCCCTCCCGAGTTGATCAACTCGGCTAAGGATGTGCCTTAAAAATCGCGCAACAGGCTTCCCTCCCGAGTTGTTCAACTCGGCTAAGGACGTGCCTTAAAAAATCTTACAAAAAAGTACAAATCCGAAACAAGTCTCTTCGATTTTGTCATAAAAGAGTACAAATCCGAAGCAAACCTGTTCGGATTTGTCAAAGAAGAGCAAAAATCCGATACACCTCTCTTCGGTTTTGTCAAACCAGAATACAAATCCGAAACAAGTCTCTTCGGTTTTGTCATAAAAAGAGTACAAATCCGAAGCAAATCTGTTCGGATTTGTCAAAGAAAAGCACAAATCCGATACACCTCTCTTCGGTTTTGTCAAACCAGAATACAAATCCGAAACAAGTCTCTTCGGTTTTGTCATAAAAAGAGTACAAATCCGAAGCAAATCTGTTCGGATTTGTCAAAGAAAAGCACAAATCCGATACACCTCTCTTCGGTTTTGTCAAACCAGAATACAAATCCGAAACAAGTCTCTTCGGTTTTGTCATAAAAAGAGTACAAATCCGAAGCAAATCTGTTCGGATTTGTCAAAGAAAAGCACAAATCCGATACACCTCTCTTCGGTTTTGTCAAACCAGAATACAAATCCGAAACAAGTCTCTTCGGTTTTGTCATAAAAAGAGTACAAATCCGAAGCAAATCTGTTCGGATTTGTCAAAGAAAAGCACAAATCCGATACACCTCTCTTCGGTTTTGTCAAACCAGAATACAAATCCGAAACAAGTCTCTTCGGTTTTGTCATAAAAAGAGTACAAATCCGAAGCAAATCTGTTCGGATTTGTCAAAGAAAAGCACAAATCCGATACACCTCTCTTCGGTTTTGTCAAACCAGAATACAAATCCGAAACAAGTCTCTTCGGTTTTGTCATAAAAAGAGTACAAATCCGAAGCAAATCTGTTCGGATTTGTCAAAGAAAAGCACAAATCCGATACACCTCTCTTCGGTTTTGTCAAACCAGAATACAAATCCGAAACAAGTCTCTTCGGTTTTGTCATAAAAAAGTACAAATCTGAAACAAATCTATTCGGATTTGTCAAAGAAAAGCACAAATCTGATACACCTCTCTTCGGTTTTGTCAAACCAGAATACAAATCCGAAACAAGTCTGTTCGGTTTTGTCATAAAAAAGTACAAATCCGAAGCAAACCTGTTCGGATTTGTCAAAAAAGAGCACAAATCAGACTCCTCTCTTCGGTTTTACCAATAAAGTATAAATTTGAGGCAAAGTCGTTCGATTTTGCTTAAAAAGGAGTATGTTCGAGACAAAGTCGTTCGACTTTGTTTAAGAAGTAACTTTGAGATAAAAATTTGAAGTACGAATGGTTTATTGTTAATTATAGA